GCGGGTCCAGGTGGGGCCCGGATGTTCTGATTCTAAACAGTTGTATCAACCTCTGTCCCAGGTCCGTCCCCTGTGTCAGCACAGAGCCCAACGGCGGGGGGGCCTGGCTGGCTCAGTCGGCAGAATGTGCCACACGGATCCCTGTGGGTTCAACCCCTGCATCAGGCTCTGCGCTGACGGCTCGGAGCCCGGAACCCGCTTCGGATTCTGTGTCTCCCTCGCTCTCTGCCCCTCCCCCGCTCACGCTCTCTGTCTCTCTCGCAAACCAATGAACGGTGACCTTACAACTGCAGCACAGCCCTGCTCACCCCCGAAGCTCAAGTCCAAATAGCACAGCTTACTCAACCCGCCCTATTCGTCAATGTATCTTCTACTGCCCTTCCGTCGCCTGCCAGCCACAGGCCCGCCCGCCCTTCTCCTCTGCCCTGTCACCTCTGCACGCTTGATCACGCTTGGCCAAAACACCGCGGGAGCCCGCAGGTCTCAGCACCTCTTTGGGGCTTATGCTCCTTTTCTGGGACGCCCCAGAGTCATGTGCGCACGAAACAAACTTTGTCTGCTGCTCATCTGTCTTTTGTGAGTTTCGCTGGCAGGTTCTGGACACAGAAACTAAGGGGTGGAGGACGAGGTTTCCCCTGTTGTGTTCTTCCTCCCTTGTATCTAAGGGGTTTGGAAATTCAGCTTCCTCCTGGAGGAGGTGGAAGTCCCACAGCCTCCATACAGAAGCTTGTTTGTGAAACAGGGTCTTTGCAGATGTGATGAAGGGAAGGATCTGACAAGATAGATGGACTCTTGTCAGATCAGGGGGGCCCTAAGCCAATGGCAGGTGTCCTTGTAAGAGACACAAGGGGACACACAGACACAGAGGAGAGGCCCCGTGAAGCCGGAGGCAGAGACGGGAGGGACGCGGCCACGAGCCCAAGGACGCCTGGAGCCCCAGAAGCTGGAAGAGGAGGAGGGACCCTCCCCTGGAGACTCTGGAGGCAGCACAGCCCTGCCTGGATCTCAGTGGTCCTGCCCTGCCTGGGTCGCAGCGGCCCTGCCCCTCCTGGACCTCAGCGGCCCTGCCCCTCCTGGACCTCAGCGGCCCTGTCCCCTCTGGATCTCAGGGGTCCTGCCTCCCCTGAAACTCAGTGGTCCTGCCCTGCCTGGATCTCAGCAGCCCCACCCTGCCTGGGTCTCAGCCTCTGGTCTGCAGAAGTGGGAGACAGGAGGTGATTTGTTTGTGTTGTTTGAAGCCTCTGCTTGGGGGCCGTGCGGGAAAGTGCTGATTCATTGTGCTGCACAAGCCAAGCCACTGGTGTTGAGCTCCCCAGGGTGGGGGCTGCTCCCCTCCCCCCAATTCCCAGCAGCTCCCACTCATAGCCCCACCCGCCTCTCTCAAGTGAATGAGGTAACAGCCGTAAACCGTTTTAAAAGCGGAAGTCTATGGTTTGTTTTCAGAGGTAACATATTCACAGCACAACTTCCTGGGGAGATCAGAGGGTCGATTGGGCTGGAAAATCCCGAGAGGGCACAGATCTCCGGGGCCGATTGGAGCAGAGGCCGCCCTCTGAGAGCCTGCCTGCACCTCGTGTGCGTGAGCAAGAGAAAAACAAGCACGCTGTGGGCTCCGGGTTCAGGAAAGGCTCGAGGGCGTCTGGGGAGGTCGCTCGCTCGCAGCAGGGCTTGGAAACAGGGCAGGAGCTTGGAGATAAACGGAGGGAGGGCAGTTACCTGGAAGTTACCCCGGTGCAGTTCAAAGAGCCCAGGGAAGGTGAGCTTGGGATCGGGCACGCTGGGCATGAGGCACTTGTGAAGTCTGAAACGCGCAAGGAGATCTGGTCAGGCGGGCGGGCGGCGTGGGACCCCAGGACCACGGTTTCGCTCAAGGCCACGAACACACTGACTGGTGGAAACAGTCCTAAGAGGGGGGCCTGGTGGCAGTTAAGACCCAGGAGACACTGGGGGAGCCGCCTGCCCTTCCCCACCTGCCTAAAGTCTGACGCAGCGCTTTCCCAGCTTGCGACGGAAATTTTCATTTGTAAAGGCGCCCCCCCCACCCCCACTTTTCACCAGGAAGAGGACCAATTTTATCAGCAACAAATTTCCACACACACGACGTTTCTCGCCATGAATTTGCTCTGTTCATGTTCTAGTCTCCTTCCCACAATTTCCGCCCTAGAGCTCCGGGACACCTTGTCCTCTGCCTACCCACTAGTGCACAAGCCCGTTGTTAAAGTCGTGTCTGAGCTCCCCAGACAAACTGCTGGTCCGCGTGTTCATTTCCTCCCAGGGAATCCCGCGTGCACGGAAAATCATACCATCCGTACAGAAACATATGCCTTTTCTCCTGTTAACCTGCCTTTGGTCACTTTAATTCACAGGCCCTCAGACACTGAAATTAAGAGGTTGTAATGTGATATGATCCTAATCTAATATGACTGGTGGCTTTATAAAAAGAGAGACCGATTACAAGGATGGGTGTGCTCACAGACAGAAGGGACACAAGGAGAGGATGGAATTGACATGCTAAGGAGACAGACCACGGGAGAAACCAACTGTGCCCACACCTGGCTCTCAGACTCCCAGCCTCAGCCCTGCCTGGATCTCAGCCCCCAGCCTCCAGCCCTGCTTGGATTGAGCCTCCCAGGCTCAGACCTGCCTGGACCTCAACCTCCAAGCTTCAGCCCTGCCTGGATCTCAGATTCTAGGCCTCCAGCCCTGCCTGGACTGCACACTCCCCACCTCAGCGCCCCCTGGATCTCAGACCCATCCAGCCTCAGCCCTGCCTGGATCTCAGACTCCCAGCCTCAACCCCTCCTGGATCTCAGACTCCCAACCTCGGCCCTGCCTGGATCTCATACTCCTGGCCTCAGCCCTGCCTGGAACTCAGACCCCCTGACTCAGACCTGCCTGGATTTCAGACTCCCAGCCTCAGCCCTGCCTGGATCTCAGACTCCCAGCCTCAGCCCTGCCTGGATCTCAGCCTCCCAGCCTCCAGAACTGAGACGGGATAGATGTCTGTGGTGGGAGCCTCTCCTTGTTTGCTCCTTTGTTACAGGAACCCTAAGATACCAGGACAGTTGACTTTTTACTCCTCACTGCAAGTAGGGGCTCACCTTGAAAATAGTGCCAAGTGTTAATGTGCTCCAGGAAGTGAGACCCTAACTTTCCCTCGGGGGTGATTCCAGGTCTGTATTTAAAACACCAAACAGGGGCGCCTGGGTGGCTCCGTCAGTTAAGCATCCAACTTCGGCTCACGTCATGATCTCACGGTTCATGAGTCCAACCCCTGCATCAGGCTCTGCACTGACAGTTCGGAGCCTGGAGCCTGCTTCAGATTCTGTGTCTCCCTCTCTCTCTGCCCCTCCCCTGCTCATGCTCTGTCTCTCTTTGTGTCTCAGCAATAAATAAATGTTAAAAAATTTATTAATAAATCAATAAAACCCCAAGCACGTCACTGGTAGAGAAGTGTTTGGACATCAGTGACTCAAGCTGGGAAAACAGAAGCGATTGGGTGGAAAGGTCATGTGCCACCCACAAGAATTAGACGCAGCGTCTCTGCCCCGTAGCACGTTCCGAGGGGACCCTCTGGAGTTGTGCCACCCACCCCCCGGCACAGACCCGGCCTCAGTGCTCCGGGATCGTTCTATATCTTCCTCTACGTGTGACCCCCAGCTGTTGTTATGGAAACCTCATCCTAAGAAGCAAGGAAGGCACCTGCCCCCCCCCCACCCCCCGGGGCACCTTCACCTGTAAACGTCACAGTGGAACGTCTGGGCTCAGCTCTTGATTTCGGCTCCCGTCATGATCTCTTGGTCCTGGGATTGAGCCCCGTATCGGGCTCAGCGAGGAGTTCAGAGCCTGCTTTGCATTCTCTCTCTCTCTCTCTCTCTCTCTCTCTCCCCTCTCTCTGTCTCTCTCCCACCCGTGCTTGCTCTCCCTCAAATTAAATAAACAAACTTAAAAAAAAAACCAAAGGGTCATCCTTACCTCCGTACTTTCCATAAAGACAGAAGGAGAAGGGACACGGTCAGCAAGGCAATCATACCACAAATTAAAATAAATTTGGGGAAAAGCTTTTTGTCCTGGCATGAATCTGAAGCAAAACAGAACGAGCACTGTGAGTGTTCAACACGATTGGTCAGGCTCCAACCCCCACCCTCTACTTTTCTGCCCTTATAAATGGCAGGGTCAGAAAATCTTGATTTCAGCGGAAAATATCCTGGAAAGAGTGATGGTGTCTCTGGACAACCACTGTAGGAGTCAACACACTGCCCTCAAGTACCTGCATTGCCAAGGGGGGGCGGGGGGCATTAAGGATACTGAGGCTTACTTTTGGCTATCATTTGTCTGTCTATCCATTCAACCATCCATCCATCCATCCATCCATCCATCCATCCATCCATCCAACATATCTATGTATCTATGTATCTATCTATCATCTACCTATCTATCTATCTATCCATCCATCCATCCATCCATCATATGTATGTATCTATGTATCTATGTATCCATCCATCCATCCATCCATCATATCTATGTATCTATGTATGTATGTATCTATCTATCATCTATCTATCATCTATCCATCTATCCATCCATTCTATCTATCTATCTATCTATCCATCCATCCATCTATCCATTCGTCCATCCATCCATCCATCCATTATATCTATCTATCTATCTATCTATCTATCTATCTATCTATCTATCCATCTATCCATCTATCTATCCATTCATCCATCCATCCATCCATCCATCCATCATATCTATGTATCTATGTATCTATCTATCTATCTACCCATCCACCGATCCATCCTTCCAACCATCATATTTATGTATGTATGTATGTATCTATCTATCTACTTATCAACTGTCTTTTATTTACCTATCAATGTCAATTTATCTATCATCTATTTATGTATATAGCTATAATCTATGCCTAGATCAATGTAACATTCATAAGTAGTACGTGTTATTATTGTTGCTGTTAATACAAATAAAAATGAAATTACCCAATGAGGTAGGGAGCCTAGAGAGAGAAACGAGAAGGGCCCTCACTTTCAAACTGAACTCTGAAGTTGGCAGTGAGGTCATTCGTGTTTTCAGGTGCCCCCATTCCACTCTCCCCAAAAGACAGGCTGCTGGCCCGTGCACTGCTGGGTAGCAAGCCTCACCTCTCAGCTCGCCCCTCTGCTGGTGTGTCACCTTGGACCAGTCACTTGGGTAAGTGTCAGAGCCGTAGCTGGACTCCAGTGTTTTGACTCTGGCCCGGAAGAAATAACATTTCTCAGAATCCAAGCCTTGCATCGTAACATTGCAGGTTTCACCCTCCTTTGACTGGAGAAAGAAAGCAAAGACAGTGATCACTGCCTTAGCCCAACTCTTTACCCTCGTGTGAGAGACTCACATAAGACGCCTGCTTTTCAGCATTCATGTTGTTGTTGCAATTCCTCTGCCTGCCTAGCTACAAGCAATGACAGAGACAAATGCAGCAACAATCTCCCCACTCCTCTCCAAGAAGAAACAATCCTTTGGAACACATACTCCCACAGATGCTTTTAAAGATTACTCAGTGAAAACTTATTCTTTGTAAAAACAAAACTAATTTTTTGTAAGAATCCAAAAGTGACTCATACTTACTTTGGAGACTTTAGAAAACATACACACACACAAACACTCAACCAAAAAACCATAAAAACCTTTCATTCTATCTCCATGATATAATCACTTAACAGTGATTACACATCGCTTGTACCACTAAATGTCACTTTTTATCACTAAATATCACTTCTTGTCACTAAAAAGCCTTTGGTGGTTCTTACATATTTGATCATATAGATGTGCCATAATTTATTTGACTATCTTTCTATTGTGTGTCATATACGTGGCCTCCAATGCTTTGTATTTATTTCAGACGTTTCAATAGATGTCTTTGTGAATAAAACCTCATCCCCATTTTCAATTCTTTCCTTATAATCAGTCTCTAAAAAGGGGCTCAATAGATGAGAATTGGGCAACTTATACACACTTCAAGTCTGTTAACGCTCAATATCGTTGATCAGGACACATTGTGTTACTAGCATGTTCTTCAGATAAACTCCAATACCCACCTATTACTGAAACATGTGTTTCTTTGATGAGTTTCATCAAATTTCATTTCAGTGGTTCCGTTCTACCAGACCAGCAGTAGGTCAGTTTTTCTCTTTTTTGATAGGCTCCCTGCAGCTTCTAGTCCATACAACTGCCTTACGATGATCCTCTCATTACAGTGTATTCTCATTTTTATCCTTACTGTTGCATTTCTCTTCCCAAGTTGCCCTAGCTACGTGCTCCTTCTGTGCCCTCATTGCATGGGATTTAGTAGACACTCAGTAAGTATATCTTAAATGAATGTTGAAGGCAGCCCTTCCCATCCCCCCTAGGGATGGCAGACATCGAGTGTCCTGGGCTGAGATGTTCAGTAATACTCACCCTGCCTTCTCTCCCCCTACTCCCTGGATGGGGCCATGGGATATGGTGCTTCTGGTCCACCTCACTATCCAAGTCTGCAGAGATCAGTGAACACAGGTGTACTTGCAGAAGTATGGAATCATTGACTCCTGAGAGTGGCCGGTAACTCAGAGTTCACGTTGCTTTTCTGTCCATTTTTTGCTGTCCTGTAGGAGAGCCCTTCCAATCCAACTTCAGACTTGGGGGCCTTCACTGATGGGCACCTCCCTGCACCTGGTTGCAGGTGATTCCATTTGCTGTCTGCAGATTTCTCCCATTGGCTCCCGTTTCCCTTTTGCGAAGAACTTAATCCCTTGTCTACACGGTAGCCATCTGATTATTGGAAGATAGCTGTGAGCCACTGGGTCATTCATAGTCACGTAATTTTTTTTTTAATTTTTTTTTCAACGTTTATTTATTTTTGGGACAGAGAGAGACAGAGCATGAACGGGCGAGGGGCAGAGAGAGAGGGAGACACAGAATCGGAAACAGGCTCCGGGCTCTGAGCCATCAGCCCAGAGCCCGACGCGGGGCTCGAGCTCCCGGACCGCGAGATCGTGACCTGGCTGAAGTCGGACGCTTAACCGACTGCGCCACCCAGGCGCCCCCATAGTCACGTAATTTTAATTTGTTCCATAGACTGTGCTCATATACTCAGAACCAGAAGGGGTTCCCATATGTTTACAAGGCATACAAACAGGGGTGGGTGGCACCCAGGGTGTGACTGGGAGGGTGTGATGGTGATGAATTTTATTTGTGAATCTGGCCACATTTGGCATCCACTTTTTTGGTCATATGTCAGCCTAGGTGTTACTGTGTTTTTAGTCAGCCGACTTTAGATCACTCCATAAGGTGGGTGAGCCTCACTCAATCACTTGAAAGCCTTGAGAGGACAGACTGGAGTTTCCCAGAGAAGAGGAAATTCGGTCTCAAGACCATAATGGAAACCTGTCTGGGTTTCCAGCCTGCTGGCCTGAGACTCGCCTGACCCTATAATCCCAGAAGCACTTCCTTAAAATAAATGTCAACACACGTCTCTGAGTCTCTCCACGTGTCTCTCAGTTACCACTTGGGGATTCTCGCTCACACTCGCCCTGAGAAGATGCCACCCCCACTCACCTGCCACTCCGTGTCGAATATGCTCTTGTATTGGATTTCGTAGAGAAGACGCTTGTAGGGCAGGTCAGAACAGGTGACCGTCACAGCGTCTTCATGCCAGCGGAAACTCAAATCTTCTGGGGAGCTGGGTTTCACTGAGGAGAGACAACAGAATGACCGCCACCTCTAGGAAGACAAAGATTCCACATCGCTAACATTATAGGGGTAAGTTTGCTTAGATTCACGTTTTTCTGCCTGCATGAATCCTTCCGTACATACCTTATGGGATTGAGGGGTTATCTATCGCAGAGGTTTTAACCAGAGCGTCAAGGACCTGTGTGTGGGTCCGGAAGGAACTCTTCGAAATTGTGTGAAAAGTTCTTAACTATCTGTCATGGGATCCAGAGTGTGCCCCTAAAAAAAGGATGTGTTAAAGTCCTAGCCGCCCCCCCCCAATATCTCACAGTACGACTGTGTTTCAACATGGAATCATTAGAGGTGTAATTATTAAAGATAAGACGGGGGTTAGTGGAGTAGGGTGGGTTCTGATCCTATATCATTGGTGTCCTCATAGGAGGACACAGACACACAGACGGAGAAGGGCGTGTGAACACACATAGATGATATACCTCTGGGCCTGTGAATGTAGAAGGATAGATGGGGCTGATGTCTCTACAAACGAAGGGACACCAAGGGTTACCAGAAAGCCACCAGAAAGCCAAGAGACAAGCATGGAACAGATTCTCCCCCACAGCCTCCAGAAGGAGCTAGCCTTGATTTCACACGCTGGGGTCTTTGTAAGTGTGGGAGGGTACATTGCTCTGGTTTTGAGCCACTCGTTTTGTGGTCCTTGGTTACCGTCAGTCCAGCAAACCGAAATGAAGACTGAACATGGGAAACGTCACATGAGACTCCTTCCCGGTCAGCTTGTCCTGTACCAAAGGGACACTGGGGTGGGTTAAACGGCATCCCCCCACAAGAACGTCCAAGTCCTAATCTCTGGCACCTGAGAATGTGGCTTTATTAGTAAATAAGGTCTTTGACGATTTCACCAAGGTAGGATGAGGTCATCGTGGATGAGGGTGGCCCTGAATCCAATGGCCGGTGTCGTTGTATTAAGCTGCCCAGTTTCTGGTAATTTGTTATGGCCGCCCTTGGAAGCTGCTACAGAGCCCATGACTGATTTTATGCGTAAGGGGTCCATAGCCCTCGTCACGGGCTGAGATAGACTGTGACACTCCATCCACCAAAAAACAGAAAAAAAAAGGAAAAAAAAAACCCACTGCTACCTTACAGAAATCTAGAGTAAAGGATAAACATTTTGGAAAGAGGGTTTCATCCTATTTGTACTGTTTTGTAACCCGAGATCGACGGCCCACCCTGGAGGCAGCTGATTAAAACCCATGGGTTGCTATCGAGGGTGAGAGGGCGTTTCTCTCTGTCTCTGTGCTGGGGGCCAGGGGGCCATGCCACATCTTGGGCTTGGTGTCTCACCTTACAGCCTCCACGGGGTCCCCCGGGGTCCCCTGCTCAGTGTGGACACATCCCTGCCTGGTGTGTGTGACAAGACAGACTTTGTAGATGGCCAGTCTTTTCTCCATTGGAGTAGAGCAGCACGTGGCACTGACTTCTTTTTGGGTACTTGGGGCGCCTGGGTGGCGCAGTCGGTTAAGCGTCCGACTTCAGCCAGGTCACGATCTCGCGGTCCGTGAGTTCGAGCCCCGCATCGGGCTCTGGGCTGATGGCTCGGAGCCTGGAGCCTGTTTCCGATTCTGTGTCTCCCTCTCTCTCTGCCCCTCCCCCGTTCATGCTCTGTCTCTCTCTGTCCCAAAAATAAATAAATGTTGGGTACTTACGGTACGCGCTTATCCACTCGCACTTTCGGAAAAGGACATCCGTTCCGTTCCCAAGGGAAAAGCACAGGATTTCGTCCTTCCTTGCCTCCAGGAGGCAGCCGGCAGTGTGGCCTTCGTGAACGATGTAGTTGCAGCATGGGCGACTGGCCTCATCGCTACTCAGCCTACAATTACAAAGCAGAACGCGTCAGCCGTAGACAGCCTGTGAAAATAGCACCTTGGCACATCGACGGCAAGTGGTGTTTATTCTTGACAAGGACGAGGACTCTTTGCTACAAGCACAGCAAGAACGATCGGAACAGAAAAGCGTCCCTTCTCTCGAAAGGTGAGGCCCCTTGAATGTCTCCTGGACTGGGCTGAACGCGGGCTTTGCAAAAACATGTCCGTGGACTAATCCCTGGAATCTGTGAATGGCATCGGATTGGGAAATACAGTCAGTGTCGATGTGATTAAAAGGTCTGGACGTAAGATCATCAGGCATGAGAGTGTCTCCTAAAGTCAATGCAGGAATCGTGTAAGAAACACAAGGGAACGGACACAGACAGGGAGGAGAAGCCACATGAAGACACAGGCAGACATGGGAGGGACATTAACCAAGAGACACCTGAGGACTCGGAAGCTGGAAGAGGCAGGAAGGACGCTCCCCTGGAGCCTCTGGAAGGACTATGACCATGACCCTCCTGGATCTCAGTGGTCCTGCCCCCCCCCCCACCCCATTCTCAGCGGCCCTGTCACTCCTGGACCTCAGCAGCCCTGCCCACGCTGGATCTCAGACTTCTGGTCTCCAGATCTGGGAAAGCATGAATTTCTGCTGTTCTAAGCTGCACAATTTCCAATACTTTGTCACAACTGCCCCCAGAAAACTAATAAAAGTACAGTTTAACTTGCATGGTAACCATGCCCCTGACTTGAGGACGCATTTGGGGAGGGACGTAGCAAGACTGAAGATGTGTCCGAGGTATCCTGCAATGTTAGGCCCAGGCAGTGGCCAGATCAACGACGCCTTTGATAACAAACTGATACTCAAGTGACTTAGCTGTGTGAGTGCCCAGGAATCCCAGCGCCTTTTTCTTCTCGAGTCTCATTTATCACCCCAATTCACCTTAAAACACAGCTCCTGCCTACACTTTCCCATTGATCTCTTATTGTTCCAAACTGTGAAGAATCAATCACACACCAGACACCTCCCCTTCACAGAATTGAGACTCAACTAATTGGAGAATCCTTTGCTCCCTCGTCTATGCTCCTGTGTTGGAGTGAGTGACACACATAAGCCCGTGATAGGGACACACATTTTCAGAAGGTGGCTGTTGCTAAGCTTGTGTGAAAAATCCCACAAGGTTCACTTTTGCCATGGCTGCAACTCAAGGAAAGTTGTGTCTGTGTCAGTCAGAATCTAGGTGGTTTTGAGCGTGACTCAGTCATCACTTGGTTCCATGTCTCGGGGATCTTTGGTTGTAGTCCCAGTGAGGGCTCGAGGCTAGACCGGCCACAGACGTTCACACGTGCACGTTCTGACTCTTCCCATGTTTGCTATCTCTGCCTCCCAACTGTTGGCGTCTCAGAGGGAGACATATTTGAGCTCAGAGCATGGTTTCCCCATCCCGAGAGCACTTACTTGTAGACAAAAGTCAGATTTGTCCCCGAGTATCGTCTCGGGCTCCATGTGACCCGCACAGTCTCAAAGTTAAAGTTGATAATCCGAACCTGCAGGACTGGTTCTGGGTGAAAAGAGACAAATAGGGTGTCTTTTGAGGCAATGCTGAAAACGGTTGGAGGTTTGTAAAAAGACAGCAGCACATCTGTCATAAGGATAGTAGAGTGCTTTAAAGGGACAGATAGAATCACGATTGTCTGAAACAAGCCAAGCACTAATTATATCGGTAAGAGTGGCAGGATAGATAAACGTTGCTCAGGATAGAAGCAAACGTCAGCAGCAAGGCTACAGCTACCCAGGGATGCCTGGGTGGCTCAGTCGGTTGAGCCTCCAACTTTGGTTCAGGTCATGATCTCACAGTTCATGGGTTCGAGCCCTATCATCAGGCTCTGTGCTGACAGCTCAGAGCCTGGAGCCTGCTTCAGATTCTGTGTCTCCCTCTCTCTCTCTTCCTCTCTGTCTCCCTCTCCTTCTCTCCCTCCCCTCTCTCTCTCTCTCAAAAATAAACATTAAAAAAAAAAAGATTATAGCTACCTTTCTTGCGATGTTCACAAGAGATAATGGCCATTATTAGAGTGAACAGCACCTATGGAGTGTCAACCATGTGTCTGATGACATCATCTTTTGTAGTCACACGAAGGGCATTAGACACCAGCAAACTCACTGTCTCTCTTGGAACAGCACACATGACAAGTTGAGAAAAAGTTTACAGACAAGTGAGTCCTTTGGTCTTGGCTTTTTTTTTTTTTTTAATTTTTTTTTTCAACGTTTATTT